TGGAAGAAAAGTAGTGAACTAAATTTAATAATTTTTCTCAAAATACTTGATAGATAATCCTTGATGTCTATTAATCACACTCAATATACAATAACATCTAGTTATAGTATGCCTAACTCTTCATTAAAAGTGAAACTGTCTCGTTCTAAAACTTATCTGTAAAATGATTACTTAACAAATGAACTTTTATAACTCTAGACTAGTTTGTCTCAATGTGTTCGTGAAATGAAATTCATCGATGATCATTCCCTCTCTGATAATGTCTTAAAAATGCTCTTTTACGTCTATGACTATATCCTACTCTACTAGTGAAGTTATAGAAAGATTAAATGCTTATTTATTGTTATAACTGAGTTCATTTAATAAACTTCGCTTACTGAAGTGGTTTTACAAACATGGTATCTCTGGTTAAGCTGATTGGTTCGAATAATATCTATCCAAATCAATAGTTCATAGAACACTCTAGAACACTTATAACGGCAGATTTATTGCAGTAGTTTTCGCTGCTGTTGTTCTGTACCGTTTTTTTCTAGTTGTAGATGATTAAAATTAATCTGTAACGGAACTGGAAGTATTTCTCGATGCACCATTCACTGACCAACAAAATGTCCTAGTCCTCGTTTGAAGAATTACTGCTTCCCAAATGTTGCTTCCTTGTGACCAATGTCCCCTCAAAACAATTTGTAAACTACATATTTTCAAACAATTTAATCTTATGTCTCCGTACTTTACATGTAGCATTGTTTACCGTATCAATCTGTCATGACTGTAAACTAGAATGCATTCTGTAATTATTTCCAGATGGTGATTTGTAATTTTGGTACATATGATTATTCGAATTGTACGAAATCCCTCTGTAACAAGATCCCTTCTCCTATAGTACTAAATCAACGTTCTGGCCAGAGCTGCAAACGCACCTGTTTCATACAATAAATCTAAGTCTGTTAGTAGTATTTGCTAAAACGCAGGGTAATTTAATTTGTGTTGCGGTCCAAATTACTTGTTCAGTTTCTTCTGTTGAGATGACTATATTGATGAAACGTGGTTGACAGGTTAAGGAGCATCTTTCTTTATGGTTCAGAAAAGGTCAGATAGAGTCAATACACAATTCCGTTACATCACATCTAATCAATAGTAGCCAACTGGTAAATAGATATAAATAATTGAAGGTAGTATTTAGTTCTCCATCTGAATTTTTTTCTATCTATTCCGTTCGTATTCATTGATTACATTACAGTCTTCTAAAAAATATTTGTGATAACGTGATTCAGTTTTTGACTGAAGAAGACTTTGAAAACAATTTTATCAGTCATCCATCCTTCTACCATTTTTATTCATTGTTTACTTATGTTATCTTCATTAGACAGTGGATAGGAAACCTTGAATTTTGTGCTAATTGACACTTGTCAGCAACGCGAACTTGTAATTTTGAGACATTCGGTGATTGCAGTGTGATTACGAAGAGATATTGAGTATAGGTTTTCTTTACTAATGGATTTAGATAAGGATTATTACTACGCTTCGTTGTTTGAAACATTACATAATATTTGATGGAATATCTGAGAGATATAATGATTAGTCACAGTGGCACATTCAGTTTATACACCGAAGTAGCAAGGAAAAACTGAGTTAATCCACCTCATTTTCTATGACTGAACATTTTATTTATCATTCTTTTTGACGAGTTTTCCCTGTCAAATTAAACTAATTATTGAAACTAGGTAGTGGACAGCTGTTACATCCTAATATAGGACTTTTCATTGGTGAACATCGATCACTCGGACCTCCACCCCGAAATTGAACTCAGGACATTAAGATCTTGCGTCTAGACCTTAAACTGTAGACCACTGAGCCGGCATACAGTGTTGAACTTCAATCAATTATCAATCTTCCAATTTATTAATGTGCAGCTCACTTAAATCCAACGTAGTTGAACTCTATTGGTCGCTGTCTTACATTGGAACTCACGAAATCAGTTGGTTATTTTGAATGAATTTATTTTTTGTTACAAATTCATTTTGTAATAACTATTCTCTCTATTTGCAGTTTGTTATTACTGTTTGAGACGCTATTTATTTTTTCAAATGGTGACAGCCATATCTTATTTAAATTTTTCAGTGATTTTTTGTTAAATTAAAATACACTATGGAAATCAACAGACATGTAGATTTGAAGTGTGTCAACTAATTTTCTTATTTTGATAAACGGTAAATTACGCCATAACTATTTGTTTATTTAAAGTAAATGGTGGTTACATTTTTTATACGCTATATATATGGCGTAATTAGTGAACCAAAGGTGATCCATAAATACAGACAGTATCATAGAGGTTTATTTGTTTTACAATATCTTCGTAGAAATCGAGGCTGTATAATTCACACATCTCTATGGATATTTAAGAGTTCTGATGGTAGTGTAAAGTCATACAATTCTATCCATGAATTTCTAAATATCACTCATCACATACTACGTGGTCAAGTAGTATTAATCAGTAGAATGTTATGATTTTATTAGTATAGATAGGTCTAGCTCCAATGTGACCACTAGTTTAAAAGGCTTGAAATTACAGTAGATATTTTTTCGGTGTTAGAAGGTTGAATGCGACTAAAACTTAGCCTTAAACATATATTTCTGAAAAGTTGACACGAGATTATAAAAAAGCACTGCTGATGAGTACTGATGTCTTACATTAAAATTATAGTTAAGAAAAGGAAAAGTCATAATAATCACGGATTATTTACTTATTCAATTGATAGGCATTGGAAATATATTGAATGAAATATTAGCTAGATTGTAGCTTTATTGGAATCAGATTATATATAATCAATACTCTGGATTTGCTCATGAATTGTTTTTATCGTATAACACCAAGTAATGATTAAGTTTTTGAGCAAATGACTAACGCGGATAAATTTAGATAAGGACTAAAGCTATTCATTGACCTACATATTTCAGGTATCATATTCATCAGTGACATGCGACATTTTTACAAATAATATATACATAAATGTTGTTTATGCTTGTAAAAGAGCAGGAGATTATTACAACACTAAACAGTTATTAACTTCTGACGCAGCAGTGAACCTTGTTGTTTTTTCCAGAAGAATAGTATGTATGTAGATTGAACACGATTTTATACGGTTCGACAGGTAAACTTCATGTTTATTTTGGTTAAAAGATGCTAAAATTAGTAGCATTTACCTTGTAAATACTATAAGTTAATTTTATCAATACTTAAGTCGACGTTTCACAACACACAATCATTTCAATTTCGAATGATGTTAGATACTAGATTTTAGGGGAAAAATTTTCAACTTTTTTTCTTCTTTCCCTTCCTCTCTTTCTCTAGATTGACTGTAATACATGGAGTTGATGAAATTTTAAACAAACGCATTTTTTATACGTAGGTTAGTTTGAAATAACTCCGAAGAGGACAGTAATCGAACAACCTTTGTTGTCTTATATCCATCCTGAATATAACTTTTTGTTAAATAAAGAATTCCAATGATTAAATGACGATAATCACCCTATCAAACCTCATGATATAAGCATTCGCGCGCCAGATCGAAGGTCCTGGGTTCGAATCCCGTCTACGGGATCGTGGATGCGTACTGCTGAGGACGGAACAGCCGTCCAGTGTTTCCAAGCTTTCAATGGTGGTCTAACATTCATCGATACATGATCTCAATCAAAAATTAAACAATCTCCACAACTCTATACTGATAATAGTTATTAAATTTCACATTTAATGAAGGCTTTTGTTTAGTTGTACCTTACATTCCAACTAACCCTTATACAAATACAACAGTTATTAAGAGAAAATGTTTATATTAAAGACATACATACATAGAATTCATTAGTGAAAATACGACATAAATGGAGTGGAGTAGAGAAGGAAATAATAGTGCTAAACAAATAGAGGGTGGGGATGAAATTTAATAAATTAATTAGTTATTAGCTAACTCATCATGACTAACCCAAGTGTATTTTTAAGCAAAATAAACGTACAAAAAATAAATTACAATTTTACATGGAAGACAAATAAGTGAATATTGGGTATAAAAATTAAAAACTAAAAGATAATTAATTATTTATGACTGAAAGTAACCACACAAACACACACATAAATACACAATACATGGATTGTTTGATTGATTAAACATGATGAAATCATTAAAATTGCCGATAACAAGAACAACAACAAAATAGATATAAATACAGAACAAAATATTACATTATCGCAACTAACAATCATCACGGTTCATTCAGCAAACTTATTAATGGTCTCATCTATTTACTAAACTTCTAGGTGTGTGGGAGTGATAGATTTTACGACATGTTTGTGTACTTAAAATGATTTATTTTTATTGAATAGATAAATAAAAAGTAATTATAAATTAGAGTAGTCGAGTATTCATAAAATAACAGATATAATAGTGGTGTAAACAACATTGATAATACTAATAATAGTAATAATTATTACCATTATTAAATAAGGCACAAGATTTCTTTACGAAAATTATAATAACTATATTAAAACAAAGAAATGATCTTACTGTTCAGGCTTTATTCTATCAAGTAATAAGTAATTGAAGATAAAGAGAACTGTGTATGTGTGTACTTTGTGTTTGCTGAGTGGAAAAATCATAGAGGGAAGGGAAGATAAGTAGCTCTGTGAGAGATGTGTAACTGTATGTGTATGGATACTTCTCCAGTAAGCAGAATATAAATATAAGGATATACACACACGTACACATACAAATCAATATGCACAAATTTCATTTCAATGAAACAAGATCTGCAAATTACATGATCAAAGTGTGGGATGCAAAAAGAAAGAACCAATTATCCGCCACCAAAACACAAACGAATTGGGATGAAACATATTTCAATTACACATTGAGTTAGGCTGATTAGAATAGTCGGACGAATGTGGGAACAAGGAATGAGTTGTACACCACGTGAAACTATATATATATATATATATATATATATATATATATATATATATATATATATATATATATATATATATATATATCATAAGGTTTTAGTTTAGTAAAATCTAATCCCTTTATCTTCCATCTTTCCATTTATTTTTGTTTACCGTTTAGCTAATCGGTATTCTAATAGAGTGCCATAGTTTCCATCGTCAACATTATACTTAGCACATAATGCTAATTGGTTTTCTATGCCCCAATACGGTTTTAAACAAACTTGACCAATCCAACAATCATTAACTTTACTTAAATGTGTCCAATCTTCACCGACAACAACAGCAACTGCATGTGCAGTTGGTATGGTGACACGAAACGGTACAGTATCAGCAGTTGGTTGATTTGATCCACTAGGATATAATATACCATCCATTGGTGTATGAAGATAACAACCTTCTTTCCATTGGGCGAATTGTTGTGGAAAACACATTACATGACCATTTCTTCCACGATTAACCTGAGTTGCTTCCAATAGATAATTATAGACGCTAGGAAGTGATTCGCCTGGTTCCGTATAAGGAAGAGCATATATTTGAAATTTGAAAAATCCTGGATGAGGGAAACGTATAACAAAGTAGATTTGGAAGTCACGTGTTTGTTGAAGAATCTGAAATGAGGCGAAAAGGAGAGAACAAAAAGTAAAGAAGCCGAAAGTTAGATTACTGAGTATGTTTGCGTAAAGAGAATTAAATAAATGACAGAATTAGGTTTCTAAATCTTCTCGCAACAAAACATATATTATTGATTTGATGGCTAGTCGAGATTGAAGTTTAGATTGAAGATGATTTTTGGTTACAGGTCGTGATAGTAAAGGAAGAGCAATTGAAAGCTAGAGATAATGGAACAACTGATCCGTCCAACTTCAGAACTCCGTATGGTGGTGGACCTTAGTAATCATTTACCATCAGAGGATTTTCGGGAAGCGCATTACCATTCTGTGATTTAATTGAGATCCAATTGTTCAACATTTATTGATCGAGATATAACGTAACGATCATCAGACGCCTTAGTTAATAACTGTCATAATCTCGAAATAATTGAACTTCACCAGTTGCAAATCTTGCAGGACACTTTAAAAGCTTATTAGAAAAGTAATCACTGAAGAGAAAAAGCTTATAAATTCTGTAGGTTGTTTGTGGAGATTTAATCAATTCGAAGATAGTTTTAGCTTTAAACTGACAAATATCATCCATTATTTGCTTAGTAAAATACTTTTTTTGGAATCTGTTTAATTTTTAACAAACAAAATACAGTAATTTCAGTGGCTGTAATGACGGCGTTAGTGTAATAGTAGATTGAAAGAAAGCTAGATGTAACCGAACCAGCACTTGCGACTTGGAACCAATCCGTAGAGTCACTGACCGTTGAATTGAGCCATGCAAGTAAGAGAAAACTAAATGGTTAGGGTTCGTATGATTATCGTAAACAATGATTGGAGACTTTGGGTGAAATGGCTGGTTAAGAATCGATCGCAATAGCCCAGGTAAATTCCTTCTTTGTCTTCCTTTAGGCCCTGAGTTTCTAAATTACTTTATCAATTTTCTTTCATTTCGTTAGTCCACAACTTCTTGAGTCGTATATTCTACGCGTAATATATTCTATTGCCGCTAACATTGCTACTAATGAGATGTGTCTTAACAAGTTTATCACGCTAATAAGGTGTGGCGACTTGAACTGATACAAATATAGCCTGGGTCTAATGTTGTTTATGAGTAATTGACTGGATTTCATTAGCCACAATCATGGTCAAATTTGAGTTCGATCATCAAATGAAACATCAGTAAGCAGAAGCATGAGTTGATGAGTCGTGCATAAGACGAAACGCATTTGTTGAACTCTACTGATGGTCAATAGTAAATACTGTCGTTAAAAGACAGAAGGGAACTATCGAGACATCCATCTAAGAAGCACACTGATGATCTATACAGTCATACAGAAAACATGGATGAACGAAAACGTTCTCATAAGATGTTTACAACGTTTCTAGTGAAATAAAGAAAAAAAATCACAACGTAAACTTGAAGACTGGGCCAAATACAATGACTCAATTATGTACAAGCAAATATTAGATTTTAAATAAGAAAGCATGGGATAAGACATACTTGCTGTGAACAATCTTCCGATACATCATGACTACAGTGTATTAATTGTGCCATAATTCGTAAAGGTTTATCAGGATGCCGAGCAAATTGAATACACAATTCACCAGTATTAGCTTGAATAAATGGATCTGTATGACTTAAAGCTTTTAAACCCATTGAATCAAAACGTGAAACTGGACCTAAATAGGTTGGCGGAATAGTTGGTAGACCACGAACTGGAGAATCACAATCTGATATAATAATATATTGCCATACCTTGAGAAATTAAATAAGAATGTATGGAAACTGAGAGAATCTCATATATTTATAATTGAGTAGTGTAAACCTTATCGAATATTTTCATTGAATAAAAAAATTTATATTATGTACAACTCAGTAGTTAACTATAGACTCAAATATTAGGTTTTGAGTTACATATATTGTGTAAGAGGGTTAAAAGAAAATAATGCCACAAAATCCACCAATATATAGAGTGGAGTTAAGAAGATATTTGAGAGTTAACTGAGTAGATTAATAAGTCATGAATCCAGTAGAAAGTGATGTGAAATTATTATGACATTCCAAAAAAAAAACAGAAAGAATATTAATTTCATTACAAGTTCATCTTAACAGTGAGAATGTACAACTATTTTAGAGAAATTCAGTCTAGAATCATGAAGATTAGTGATGAAATCATCAGATTTATATATTGTAAGTTTAATTTCTAAGACTAATATGTTCAATTTCATATACATAAAGATATAAGTTAAACGATCATTTGCTACTTTTCCGCACAGAACGAAGTATCACAATAGTATATACATTTAGTCATTGGACTATTGAGGAAATATATTTTGACAAGAAATAGGAATATACTGACTTGCTAATAAGGGTTTTTTTCAAAGGCTTTTTAATGTTCATTTACACAAATAGAAAATAAAACAATCTATTCTATTATCAGTATGGAATTGTGGAGATTGTTGAATTTCATTGAAATTACAAACTGATCCAAGTTAGATAACCATTAAAAACCTTGAAGCACTGGAAAGGCGTTTCGTTGACATAATGATTAATTGAATTGAAGTACCAGTGTATATTTCATTTAAAGACGGTTATTTATAAACTTTTTAACTGAACAACATATATGGCATCATGAACCTTGATTCAGCGGAGTGAAACGGAACGAAACTAAAGGCAGTGTATCTTCCATTCACTTATATGTTGTTTATCTACTACAAAAAACTGTTAGTGTATACCATTAGAAAACAATTCCACATAGATATATTATCCACACAGTGTACATAATACGAATTATAGGCAAATAAGATTTTGTCTATTAAGGCTTGTTGAATAACACAAAAAAGTCATACTTCTTGAAAGATTTTAAGTGGGACTGAGAGAGACATTTGACATTATTGCACATTACCATTTAAATTAGATTTTCTTATCGGAATCTTTCTTTTTGCTTTTTCGGAAGATCTAAAAATGATATCTTATTTGTTGGTAAGGCTTTGGAAAAATATTATAGTATCTCGAATTGAAAACCTTGGGAAGCATTTATATAAAATTGCGATGTATCGAATTTACTCTAAGATTTACTAAAATAATCTTTTAAATTTTACCTTGGCGATATAATTCTAACATGTAAGATAACAACAATAACCAGTTAGCTTATATATTTCTTTGATATTGGGTTATATCTATTTCTAAAAACTAGCAGACAAGTTTTACAACGTATAATATCAGTCAAACATAATCGATGTAGATTCTGGTATAATTGCGCATTGATCCAATTTATCAAACCAAATTAGCATAGTGAGATGAAATTAACAAGATGGACAGCAAAGGGTATCCTAGGAAAATTTTAGTAGGGGGGCCTATACTCCATGAGGGGTATCAGGCGTAAGTAAGTAAGTAATAGCAAAGAGACAGAAATAATGTGACAGTGATGGTAATGTGAAAGACTGAACATTGAGAATATAGTGCAAAAAATAATGAAAAAGTAAACGGGAAAGAATAGTATTTCTAAGGATGTAGAGTGAGATAAAGAGAGAATGCATTTATGACATTCTTTTCAAGTATCTTAAGAAGCAGTTCCTTTCTACGATATGGGTGACAGGAAAGTGGCAAATGTTCTCATGTCTCTAACAGCACTCTTTAATGTCTATGTTACTATAAAGATGTTAGGAAAATACATACACACATAACAGAATTTTTAAACATACCACAAAGAAAGAATTTCCATCTTTTACAGGATCATTAGCGTACACTTCTAGACCATATTCTCCAGCTTCTGGTAAGAAAATAGCAAATACAGCTTCTGAATTCCCATTTATACTTCGTTGTAGTAAACTTTTTGAAAGAGCATTTTCAGCAACTAATGTACATTTGAGTTTAGCCATTAAACGTGGCGGTGGACAACCTGGTAATGAGCCTAAACCAAAACGTATTTCCAAAGTACCACGTACAGCACGTAATGTACAATCAACACGTTGAGCTGTTATTCGATAATTTTTAGCCAACTATCAGTATTATAAAGTAGACGAAGTGAAATGTAAAGAGAAAAACATTTAATACAATTGATTCCGTTTATAAATGCCAATAAAGATTAAGATTATTTGAAAAAAACACGACGAATTTAATGCATTCTGATGCTTTTTCTTCAACTATATACAAGTTCATAAGTTCAATTATTTGGAATTATTCTAACAGATAAATTCCCCATCAATAAAGAATCATTTATTTGGAGCATATTATCAAGAGTTTAAGCATTTGAAGACAAAATAGTCTTTACAATTTGAGACTTATCGTTTGTAATCGTCGTTTACTTGTACAGACGAAACTACTAACAATAGCTTTCTCAGTTTAAGACGTGCGACATGAATATCTAGGTATCTATTATCTTTGTTGTACAAATATTACTCAATGTTTTACAGGTTTATGAAAAATGAAAACAAACATTAAAAGTGAGGGGATAATTTATGAAACGAACATGGTTAGTTATATCTTTGGTGATGATGATTAGTAGTGATGCAATTCAAGTGTATGTGCAATAATGAAAAACTATATTTTAAATTAATCAAACCATCAACATCAGCTAATCTAGGAAATAAGATTTTCCAAATCTTATACTCAATCATATATATATATATATATATATATATATATATATATATATATATATATATATATATATATATATATGGGATTTGTGGAGATTGTAAAATTTTTACAGTTTAAATCACGAACCAATCTTATGTACTACCATCAATGAAAACCTGGAGGTACTGGATGGCCTTTTCTACCTGGATGAAGGTGGATTGTTTAGACGTCAACACTGTTGGAGCCGACTCAAGGGTGCAAAGTTCAGGCGTTCGCACTGGAGACCGGAGACCTTGGGTTTGATTTCCGCGTGCAGGGTCATAGGTGTCCCATAGCAGAACCAAATGGGCGTTGAGTGCTTCCAGGTTTTCAATATCAGTCTAGCTATGATTAGTTCGATATATATGTACAATAATCTCGCAATCATATTGAATTAAAATCTTGCACTTCATTGCCATACCTCATTCGGTCCGTAGCTTGATGATTGGCATGGTGGAAACGGCGGCAATGAACAATTTGAACCAAAATTCGCTACTAATCGATACTCACAAACAGCACCGAACAAATTTTCAGAACTTAAATCATCAGGAATCATACTGACTATACCGAGACCTTCTTTTTGTCCATGTTGATGTGGTTGATGTTGTTTAGCATAAATAAGTAATTTATATGCTCCAGGTCTTGGTGGTCTAATGTAGAAAACTGATGTGTGTTCTCGTATCAATGTTTCTTGTCTACCGAATCGACTGAAGTTAAAAAGTAAAAAAAAATCAAACCTTAGTTGGAAATGTTATATGTATGGATATTTTAGAAAGAGGGCAACTACTTCGTTTTCTTGAACAATAAGCATTAATAAAGGGATTTTTAATGTTTGATGGTGTAGGAGCAGGTTGGGAAAAACATAAGGCAGTCTATTCAAGATATAGCATAAAGTTATGAAGTCACTGACTGTTGAACTGGATCGTGTTGGTATGTGCAGACTGCCAAGTTGGAGTCTAGAAAATTTTTGTAACCAGTGGTTGGAGACATTGAGTGACATGGTTCATAATTGATCGCATTGATACAGATGCATTCATTCTTTGCCGTCTCTTAGATCTTGAGTTTTAAATCATTTTATATTTTTCTAATCTGCGAATTCATTCTTATAAAACCATATTGTCTATGCCTAATTTTTTTGTACTATCATTGATGATCTTACAAATTCATAGGTTATATAAGTCAGATCCTAAGGGTGTAACTAGTGTAGTAGAAAATGTTTTAGTACTTAGACAGAAATATTGCAACTATTCACTAATTTAATAGAAATCTTTAAATAAAACACATAATACGACTTCACAATAAGTTCGGGTTTATTTATTTGGCTTTGATCTACAAATTTCATGTGCAAGGATACACTACTCACTTGTGCAAATTGAATTGAAGTGGAGTGTGAACCTGTGATCAGTACTCTAATCACTGACCAACCACTTTGCCTGGTTTTCGAATATTACAACTGTGATTGATGGATTTAATTCATGCTTTGCAATCTGAATTGTATAAACTATTATTCAATATTTGTTGCTGTGTTGATTAATTCCCTTCTTACAATGAGTTTTCATTTTTAGTTAGAAAGAAAGATTTATTTCAAAGGATAAACCGTAAATAACAATCCTGAAAAAGTTAACTAATAATGTAATTTTGACGGGTCTAATAACACTGAGTTATTATTATGGTTTAGGATTTAGGGTTACACCAAACCAATCCGATTTAGGGTAGTACCCTTGGATTTTTGTCTGAAACTCTGCTATGTCTGAAGATATTACGAGTCCGCCTAATCTGAGAACGGAAGACTCTGTAACAAAATAACCGATAGCTAGCTATTCCGATGAGTCCCAGTCCCGTTAACTAGATGGAGAAGATCCTCCCGAGTGGGAAGGTGAAAATGGGCGCTTTCGGCGCGAAAACAAGAAATTCAATTTTTAAAATAGAATTACAAAAATAAGGTATTTACCAAGTGAGTTTTGGGGATCTAGCATCCCCAACATCGATATGAGTATAAAATATTCTTGAATCAGCTGATATCAGTTGTTGATAAAAACACACACCAACTCTGAATCCTGACTCTAAACCCTAGTTCCAGCATTATTAAATAATTCAGTCATATTTGTAATTCTCTGATTGGCTTAGACTCGTGCTTATAGTTCAGAGTTTGTAAAAAGCAACTCGCTTAAAAATACTGAAAGAAAATAGAACAATAAATATAAAATGGCTCAACTAGAAGAGGATACGAAATAAATCCAGGTCTAGATAATAAACGAAACAGATAAACAGTAAGAACAAATGCTTACGTTAAAGGAATTCCACGAAACTCCTCACTTCCTTCTTGATTATCAAATGATAAGCCAAACGTAAATGATAAATCATTTTTAGAATCCGATGGAAAAGCTATGACAATACGAACTTCTGGATCTGAGCATACAATCACAGAATTACGATGTGTAACTAGATCCAAATTGTATTTGAAAAAAGCAGATTTGACTGGAGCTAAATTCTCAAATTCCTAGAGGTTAAATTTTGAAAGTATAAAGAATAATACAACACAAAATTTTGAAAATAATTTGCATTAAGCTATTCAAATATTGACAGAAAAACATTTCACTTGAAATAGTTTAAGTAATTAGGAATTGTCAATCGAGATAACATATTACAGTATTGATGGAGCGGTGTGTACTTGACACACATGAGTTACAAACTTAAAACACTAATTTGGTTAGCGAATGATGCTAATTATTAAATAATAAAAGTAGGATTAAATAAAAACTAAATCTGTCCGACGAAATTGTAGATGATTTTATTTAAATGAGAAAGAAATTGATGAAGAGAAGAAATATATTGAATTTAGTGTACATATAGTGTATCATGCAAATGTTAGTGAGCTATTTTATGAATACTAAAGTAATTTATCAGAGAAAAATATACAAAAAATAATAGTGTGGTGCTTGCTACTTATATGGACAGATATAAGTAGTATGTAGCAAGAATGGAAAGTGGAATGCCTGCCAGCACAAGACTGAATTGATAAGAACAGAAAGAGAAACAGAGAGCGATTGTGATAACAACAGAATTGAAGGAATAATGAAGCATGCAAAGGACAATTGGATGAAGATGTGCAAATAATGTATGGTTTTCATATTTTACGAGGGCACTCTGTTATTTTGCATTAAACAATAAATAGGTTTTCCCCATGAGTTCTCGTTCACTAAAATAATATAATGAATGAAAGTTTAGAAACATTCCTATGGTGTAAGTTTCACAGAGGCAGATAAATTTGTATGATTGCAATAGTGTATTGTTTTTGTCTTTAAAGCACACAAGTTGACCAGATATAATTTACGACTAAGGAACTACTATTTTCACTTTTAGATATACCAAGAACTTTACATGTTCTGACCATATAATTTCAAGGACAAACAAACAAATAAACATGTATAACAAACTATTCTAGCCTGTTAAATTAGACGGTAACAACAGTGAAAGCTATTTGTTTATAAGAATATAAAATATAGGTAAGACTATAATTTATGGACGAACTAATGAAATTTAAAGATAGCAAGTTTAGCATTTTGGCAAGAAATACATTAATAATAATGGTTAAATAATATTTCAACATTATGGCTAATAGCAGTTCGGGATAAACACTTTACTCTAATTTTTGAACCTAACTTAACTATAAATCCTAATCTTGATTTCTCATACTAGTTTGTAACCGTTTTCGACTCTAGTGAGTTGTTTCAAGGTCACTTTAGAGCCACTCAAAGGTCATCCATGAATCATGGTCTCACCACAATATCCATAAAAGTAAGTGTTGTACATGGAGAGATAATATGAATGAGACAGTAAAAATTCAAACTTTAAATAGTAGTAATTAGGTTTCATAATTAACGCATCAAGGATGCAGCATAAGTCCATGAAGTCAATGACAGTTGATATATATATAACTGAGTTTATAACTCTTTAGCCGCCGAGTTCCAATTACAAAATGAAATGAGTACAGATAAGGAGTGTAGAAATATACACAGAAAAGTATGACTAGATTTTATTTCTATGATTTGAGAGGATTCAGGATTACGAAAAGAATGAAACTAAGAAGATTAAAATATTTTCGGTGTTGTTGAGTCCAATAAGTTAGTTGGTTTAATTATAGAGCTTTCATTGGTGTTCTAGTTAGCAGCAATAATATTAGTGCTTACTTCATGAAGAAGTGAGCGTCTTAGTTCTTCCACAAGCATTTAATCAATTTGTTCTGCTGGCCATGTATGTGATAGCTGTCTTCATAGAATTAACTATCTTTATTTGTCATATTCAATTCAAATTGATTGTGGTGTTCCGTTAACGCTTGATCATGTGCTTAATTGGCCTTTTTCAAGCAGGTTGATAAATCTGACATTCTTAAAATGTTTTCGAAACTTACACACTAGAATTCATATCCTTTGTTATATACGTGTATTGATATTAGTGATAAAATAACGTATCATTTCACTGACAGTGGCTTATTCATAGAAAATAGTAGAATAAAAATGTAAATCTGTGGAATACCAACGGTGATACAATATTAAGTTAAAATAACTTTCGGTTTAATGATGAAATTATAGAATTTAATAATGGAATGAATGTAGGTATGGAAGAACAAATATAATTAGGGATTTCTTGAATTTAGAGATGCAAGAATTTCCGAGAAAAAAATCTAATTTGACAGTTAATAAGACCATCAATCAAAATCAACGATCAAGTATGATAGAGAAGTCACATAATCCACTTGAAAACTACTTCGAATCTCATTCTTTATCTTTATGTAAGGACGTGATGCAAAATATGCAACAGTATATGATTTAATTGATCACATTTTTGTCAGAAACGGTAAGGTATCATTATTTTGAACAATATACCGAAACCCGTTCGATAAATAGCATACATGAAATAGAAAATGTAAAGATTTTGTCATATTTTAGTACACTTAGAAAAATACTGAACATCAGTCATCAAAAGACCAACAACCTACTTTTAGTGAGACTGGATGACGTAATAACTGCCAGTCGGGGTCATGTGGGAAATGAGTATAAATCAATTGACTTGGACTAGCTAAGAAATAAAACATATCTAATCCATAGCGTACGTTGTCTGGACTAGGACGTTTACCAATTAAACGACGTGCAGCCCAATGACAATCAATCAAACGCCAACACTTATCAATAAGCACAGCATTCCATGAATGTTGACCTTGGCGACCGGAGAAATGCATACCAGGGGCATATTCAGCACCTTTGGCATAACCAATTAACAGTTTACAATGTAAACCAGCATAACTGTTTAAGGAGAGAAAAAACGAACATTAAAAAAGTATTAAAATCTGAGAAACTTTTGGAGTTCGAGTCCATGTGTGTATGGATTGTTGCGGAGTTTCAGAACTTACATAAAAGTTATTTACAATAGATGGGTTGTGACAATAAGTATAATTCGAAACGTACGTTAACTTCTAGTTAGGACTCGACAACTGGAGGCATCTATCTCCCGGTGGTGATTTTCAACATTGGGAATTGAGTCGAGTAACGTTTACTTCAAACGCCTAACGTATTCACCAATAAACTACTGAGTCAAGATAGCCATTAAAATATTTGACGGATATTATGCCTGTATAGTAATCAGTAAATGTATGAGTTGTCCGGTTTTTGATATTCAAAACTGAGTTCCAATCAGTTTTGATGAACAAATAAGCAACTTGTGTTGTCGAAAGTAGTTTAAATAAAATATATTTGTTCAATGGTTCACCAGCTGATGTCTACTTAGGAACGTTTACATGAAGATACTCTTTTTAATCGTCGTCGAAAATATGCAACTGATGATTCTCATATAAGATAAGTCGAATTCCATAATTTAGAGCTATCGCTCAGAGAATAGGCACGCCTTGTTGACGAGTGTCAAACAACACGGAAATTAGGTCGAGGAGGGTTTACTGTCAGCAAACTTCAACCATCACCTTACATCCCTGAATATTGTACACGACGTTGAGTCGCTCAGATTTGTGATCACATAGCAACTTGCTGATCGACAGAATTTAGTCCGTCTTAAAGGACTAGACGAATATAGGATTGGTTGCGACTAAGTGGGTCAACCAATTGTATGTAAAAAATATCTGTTGATGATAAGTTTCCTTTCCCGAAAATGTTAGTTACAAAAACAAAAGAACTATGCAAGAAAATTTCAGAGGTAAAATAAATTATTCAAAAACTGATCATAACCATCACCATAAATATTCACAGCAATGATAACAATCATAATATTTTAGCGAGTTGATAAAGAAAACAAAACAGGTTTGGAATTATGCCAGGATAAGTAAGACATTCCATGTGTATACGTATACACCAAAACAATAGTTAGTTGTAATTTAGTTTAAAGTCAAGAATATAGAAAACGTAAAAAGATGAACAAATGTAGTAAGATATTGATCAGAGATGAAGCAAAAGAAATTGGTTAAAAATGTACAGAAAATAGAAATAATTCAGTTAGTTTATAACATTGTAACACTAAAAATTCCAGCTTCAGTTACTTTTACTCCGTAGTCATTATTAGGTATGCAATAATATATATATATATATATATATATATATATATATATATATATATATATATATATATATAATGGGGATATTCGTAGCTTAGTTGGAGTAACGTTGAAATTTTATCTCGTGGAAATTCCAAATCTTCCAGAGGAATTCGTGTGGTGTGGTGCGCGATAGTTATGTGGACAGATATTAGTATGTAACGAGAATCGGAAATGGAGCGCTTACCAGAAGATTTAAATGAAGAGAAGATAAAGGAAAGAAGAAAGCAATAAGAATAACGACAGAATGAGAAGAATAATGAGGTATGTAAAGGACAACTCAAGGAAAATGTGCAAATGATGTATTTAACGTACGATTTTGATATTTTACAAAAGCACTGTGAGATTTTGCATAGCAAAACAAATTGGTTCAGTGTACCAGAATAAACAAATACATCGATAAAGACTTAATTCATTAATCCATATAAGAGATCAACCAATTAAAAGGTCAGAGGTCAACCAACAAAGACGGAGACAACAAACCCTACGAAGACAATCAATCACAGACAAGGTAATCAGAGTGAAGTGATATAAAACTTTCAGGAATAATTAGAAATCTCACTTTTACATGTATTACATGATGAAGATGTCCATAATGACGATGAAAGCGCCACAATTAAACTATCTAGCTAAAGGCGAAGTCAATATCACCTAATGGTATTTGCAATAATAATAATGCTATTTGTAAGGAAAGTATACTTTTGTGCAGATTATTTCAAATTTGAAATACTATAGGTAGGTATTGTGTAATGGTTCGAAGCTCATACAGTAATACAGAGTCAAATCTAAACAATATATTTATATAATTAAGCAATCACAATAACGGCATAAGTACGCCATAAGCGGGAGAGAACTAAGTAATAAATCAGAAAGATACAACGCACGACATTGCTGTATGCAAGCAGGAGAATACAAAAATCCAACAATCTAAGTATTGAATAATTAACGAACAAAAATAACGACTTCAAGTAGGATGGTTTCGAAAGTTCGGATTTTCCGATATTCATCCTTGTTATAAGTCTTAAACCTATTCTTCATGCATTTCAAACAATCATCATCTTCATAATCGTCAGCAGTATGACTGCATTGGTGGATGTACTAGTACTGTTCAATGCCACAACAAATATCTAAAATCAGATGTAGACTAAAACTCCACATTGTATCAATCAATGCCAAGACGCGTACATAAAATATACTTGTGTTTAAGAGCTTTCAGATGATTAACATCTTTAAACATATAAAAAAGGTGACTTACCGACATAATGTATAAAATATTTGTGCATATGTCGATTTACCAGTACGTATACCCATCAAGATTTCTTCTGGACTATCTGGTTTCACATGGTCAAAATTCATTTTATGTAGATCTTTAGTGCACAACCATAAGAAGATAACACGGACTTTTTCCAATTCATCAGTAATATTACGTGCATAGATTAACTGCCAAATTAACTGATTAAAATTATCTTGTTGTTGTTGTGATACAGAGACAGCATGTTCATCAATTCTTCGAAAGATCTGTTAGATATTGAATGATAAAAGTGTGAGAAACACAAGCGCTTAACTAAGTTATGCGCTTAACAATAACATGATAAATTTAAAGTCTGTAAACATTTTTATTTTGGTATGGATAAACGTTTTCTTCGTTTAATCTTCAAAAGATTAGTCTTTTATCATGAAAATTTCTCATCAATATTAGAGTATGGAAAACATATAGTTTGGTTTTTATTGAAGATCTTGGGAAACTGTAGTTTTAGAATACCTTGAATGACAATAGAAGTGTTTTCTTATGAGTTCCTCAACTCCATCAAACGCGAAATTTGCCTCAGAACTGATTTACGTCAATATTAATTTTACGAGAGGTAGTGAAGAAGTTAGGTGTGTTAAACAATTTTTACATACCTTAGTTACTTCGGTAAATATATGGTGAAATTTCAGCATGGGTCAGTGTACGCCATCTGTGTTGAAGGTGACATACTTATTTACCAATTAAATAGGTGATAAATTGTCATTGTAGAAGAAAGTTTTGCGTGACAAGTATTTGACGGGAAATGTGTTTAAGATAACGCTCACACATATTGGAGATATGATGTATGTAATGGTGATGTTGGAAAACGAGTACTAGGTAAAAATGATAACTCGATTACCGAGGTGAAACACTTTAATTCAGTAAGATAGCTAAACCATGTTATACGCAGTCATATAACTAACTTCTACTACGATGTACAACACCAGTCAGACAAGTTGAGAAAAGGCAAAGAGTGATCAGACTAAGATTCTGAACTGCTAGTATGGGTTATATTGGGAAGTCTAATTCCGACTCGCGAATTGTTTGTAATTTATGACTGATATTGCCAGAAGTCGAGACTAGATGCAATGATATGGGTGCATTCAGTCAAATTAGAAGCTTTAAATACAAAATTTTTTAAACAGTCAGTGTTATGTGGTAACAGTGAATGGTAGGAAATTAAGATTAAAGGTAGTGGTCTGAGGTAATCAAAATGAAACCCTGGAGGTGGGTTTCGTGCTATAATCATGAGGGAACTGATGCTCCCTGGCAGATTCAATCCCGTTGCACCCATCTTCACAATCAAAGATGTTACCATTGAGCTATCCAGGTCGCGATTTAGCTCCAGTAAGGCTGAGATATATATGCCATTGATTGGTCACTTGGTAGTGGATAGTTACATGTATACCAGATCCTTCTTAGTGTAGATCGAGTTCTATAGATTTAGTTGCAATGTAGGAACAATTCTAGGTGCTTCAACATCGTGTGCACTGTGTTGAGATGTAAGATGGTGGTTGGAGATAATCGAGGGGAAACCCTGAACCTAGATTTCGTGCTATTTGATTGTGAAACTGGGTGATACGGGATTGGATCCGCCAGGGGGCATCAGTCTACCCAAGATTACAAGTATATCTTGCTGATGAGTGTCAAATAGCACAAAACGCACGTCAAAGGGTTTCCCGTTGATTACCTTCAACCATCACATTATGCCTGAAAACAGTGCATCCGATGTCAAATCACCTAGACTAGTGGCTGCATTGCGAATCGATAGACAGAATTCAATCTGCACGAAGTAGGACCCGACACACAAGATATTATTCACTAACCAGTGATTAACTGATCGTAACTAAGATTGAAATATTTTGTATAATAGTGCTAATCTTTAAATGTACACCCCTTAACTGATTTTTCAATAGAACACAAATATAAATTGTCAGAACGATGATCATAATTGATATTAAATTTAAAGAACCTATATACCCATTATTATATTGCTAAGCTATCTCAAACTATATACATCATTTTATGAAAAATTCTATCCATAAACAATAGTGTTGGTTTGAAAGCCTAGGTAACTTTACTCCGAGTTGTATTGCAATGTATGAACAGGCCAAGTCCACATGGAATATATACATTTAGTCTTCAATCTTCCATTCGCATCTATTGTGTGTTCCCCGATCCAAGCTGGTTGTAGACTGCTTTCCCAAGCTTCTCTTCTGGTCTCACAAATAATCCGAACTCGCCGTGCTTTCGGCTTCCTGACTCCCGTCTTTGGTTATCGACTACAGCAACAGCGATGAGACGCTCTGCTGTATACTACTTATCAGCAATCTTGTGAGGAGCGTCTAACACAATACTACTGTAGTAGTCGTTGCTATAAATCTGGTTGGATGTTTTTGCTTTTGGTTTGCAGTCCCAAAGTCATAGTTGTTGCTACATGAAGGGAATCGTATCACAAATTTAACTTTTATTGGGAATATTAAAGCTTTCCTCGAAATTCCGTCTTCTCTCTCACTTGTTCGTGTTTTGACTGCATTTTGGTATATTAGTTATTCAATCTAGCTGGTTTGAGTATATTCTATTTCCTATCAGAAAAGTATCACAATTATTCGTAGTTCAGAATAACCGTAAGTTACCTCATTATAGTATATGTATGGAATCTTGGTGACTAGATGTAAATATGTTTAACAAATTAATATAAAACCTTAACGAGATTTTTCGATGGTGTACAGGAACTCAATATGAGAGGACTTCAATGATCATTTCATTTTTATAAAGCTTTGAACTATATAGCAGGTTGAGCTATTTTACAAAGTAAAAGTTTAATAGATTAACGAATGAAAAAGTAAGGGTATTAACAAGTTATTCAAACAATACAAACATATTGTCTTCAGAAGTCATTTGTTGAAACATCTAACATGATAGTGTGTCCAGATCCTACAGCAATATGGGTGTGAAACAGAACAGTTACGACATTTATTCCATGCAGAATAGGTGTCGCACAAGTTCAATATATAAGTATCTGGACATGATTGTTAATTTAAATAGGTCACTAGAAGAAATAAATAAATTTTAGACTTAGATATTTAATCACATCATATATTCAGTTTGTAATAAAAGTGTCAAGCACCATCAACTTACGTCAAATGATTGATAAGGAGTAGATGACATTTCAGTAGTTGTCGGAATTTCTTGTGGTTTTGGTTTATCTTCCAATGTATCCATTGATAAAGGACTTGGGGCAAATTCTTTTGGAGGAACTCGTTGTATCGGCCCAGAACTCCAATTAGCTGTACTTTGATCAAATTTGTAAAACTGATTAGTTGATGATGATGCTGGTTGATTACTTCGACCAAGACCTCCAGTTGTAGATGTGACTTGATCATACTGTTGTTTGTTATAATAAGGTAGACTACTGGAATTTGATGAACCAGGAGGTGATACATAACACATGTTTGCTAGAGAAATTAAAATTAAATGCTTATAAAGATGACTATAGTCTTAATATTTTAAGCACTCAACATTCTGGGAATACATTTTACACGTTACATTTGAAAACAATATATATTCACACACAAAAGTACAGAATGGATACCATTTTACAGATATGATCAAGTTGATAAAATTTTCGAAATAATAATAATAAATTTCCATTTACACTTTCTGGAAAAACGTGATTTCTTGGTTAATTTAAGGTAATCACTTTGGACAAAACTGATAATCTTGTGAAATAATGAAATTTATGGAGAATAAACAAGTTAAAGCGAAATGATTTAATGAAACACGATTGATGATTGTATTATTTATAATAACAAGGATTTAGTTGTGATTAGTATACAAACTAATAGAATATACATAAATACCATATAGGAGGCATAAATGAAACAGTAAACAAGTTTTGGTATGGGAAATTCCATATATTTGTCATACTTTCACAATATTCTCACGACAAAAGAAAAATACAGACAAGAATAAAGCTGACTAAACTATTTGTGAAATCATTTACTTATATTCGAATTTATAGCTGTTTGTTAAACATATAAGTCCATAGAAAGACAGACAAGATTTCAGTATCAAAGGGAATGACCCCAAATGCCCTGGTACAGCCGAGAGTGGGGAGAGTCCGCTCTCCCTCTCGAAATGCTCTCACATGGCCACGCGTATATAGCCTCTGCCAAGGAATTCCTACTCACTACCTTCTCGTAGCATTACTGTTGTTTACGAAATTCAGAGGACGAAAAGCGAACGTCCCGCGCTTCAATCAGGTTGATGGACATGGAGCGTCCACCTAGGGGAGTTGGAAAACGCACATTCCAAACCAATGGTGTATATGGGCTCCAGTATCCTGAAGGAACAAGTGGAGTATGAACCAATCGTTGGTCACCGGCTACCATGGGAATGCATCTCCTTACGTTGCTGTACTGTCCTGTGGATCAGACCTTTGGGTCGAAGGCTCCGAATGTGGCCCCCTAGGAAAATCACCTGCTTCGGTTTGGGCACTCGGGCAGTATCACAGCCCTCACACATATCAAATGAGATCTGTGTGGTGTATTTGTATTTGGTGCCTCCTTGTACCAATATCTAGGTGTTAAAATAAATAAATAATCAAAGGGAATGGATTAACGGAGATCGAATCAAAAACTTATGCACTGATGAGGGGTTAGCGATTCACCAATTCAAACCTGAACTCTGCGTGCAAAAACGATACATCCAACTTATTATCCTTCCCTAGGATTAATTCCCTTCTGCAGTGTGTTTTGGTTTGTTTTTATTATTATTTTGTGATTTTAAATCTTAATCAGTTATTATTATCCCGTTAACAATTATTGATCAATATAATTCGATTGTTATTATGACCTTAATATTTATCATTTTTCTTCATACTTGTCAAGTGGACAATTATCTCTAACCCCCCAATTATTACAGAACCTCATTTGAAAATCGAAATTTCGAAACACTTTGTGAGGTTAATTTAAATTGTATTATTACAATTATGGTTTGAATGATGTTGATTAATGTAACTCAATAATTATTCTTCACATAGAATTTTATCAAAATGGGAGTTTGTGGAGATTGTAGTAATTTAGTAGTTAAATTCATGAGTCGATTTAAGCTAGACCATCATTGAAAACCTGGAAGCAGAGTACGATCGTTTTGAGATTTTCAATGGTGCTATAGCTTACATTGACTCATGAATTCAACTATTAAAATATTGATTAATTTTAATTTATTACGTGCTTATTCTTCATATTACTACTACTTTAATGAACCTTATGGTAATTTACTAAGTAGTTTTACAATATCCACCCTAGATATATTGCAATAAGAATTGCTGAAGACCAAAAAGTACTTGTCATTTACTTTCAACAGTTTGATGTTGTGATCACATATGTACTGGAAAACAACTCATCGCTTTATAACTAATTGAAGAAAATATCCCTTTGACTATCCCTAATCCACGCAGCCATGGATTATGGTCTGGATAGTTCAGTAATTCACTACATAGCTATCAAATATAATAGTAAGACATGCATATGTAAACTGAGGTTTTCCAATTGTAATACAAAATATTTACTTAACAAATGAAAATATCAAGAAATAGAATAAATTGATTCATTCGTCCGTTAATATATACGTATAACGAAACATGAAAGCAACCAATATAAAACTGGAAAGCAAAAAAACACGACACACCATCAATGCACAAACACTGATTCTTGTGTCACAGTGATCAGATTAAGGACAGTAAGTGCAAAAACTGCACTTTAAACAATATAACAAAAAGAAAAAATAGTGATGTCAAAAATAATACAAAGAATTAACAATAGTGAAAAAAAAGCAAATCTTGCGTTAATTTGTCCTGTAGTAGGACGAAATAACTTTCCAGAACTTTTAGTTTTAAATGTCTGTCTAAATAAGATCAGTCAGCGATGTAAACTATCTCATTCAACCATTTCCATAATACCCTTTAAAGATCTCGTCAACACTTTTCCAATATCCACCCAAATAATTTCTTATAAGTATTTGTTATTATTTTAAGTTTGGCCTCATCCAATTGCTACATACATCTTAAATGTTAATCAATTGTAGGCATATCTTGTCAGTATCCAACTGAATATTCCTTCCAGCCAACAACTGGTCCCTGTATATACTTCCGATGATGCCTTATTAGTAGTTAAGATAGGCCTACTTCAAACAAACTCAATTTGGATAGCCATGTTGAGTATCTCATTATTCAACACAAACAATGTGATCCATATCTGATTGGATAAACCTGTACTTCACGAATGGGTTATATTATCATTATTGTTATTACTCCGATTACTGGATTAAATTTTATGCTTACCAACTCAGTTTAGGTATAACTACGTATCCGAACGATTATAGTTACAATAGTAATCCATAGTGTACTGCATTTTAAGCACATTGTATTAGTACACCTATATTGTACACGTTCAGTCCAATGGGTACTAATAAATACGGATTTATCAGTGTAAGGGACAATTACCTTCAATCATCCTTTTAAACGGAGTAATTCTCGTATTGTTTTTTTTGTTGTAATCCATACATTCTTTCATACAATAATAAAATTGCAAACTTACTAATTGTTATGTCCTTGGGTCTGTCTACTCACTTCTGGTGCTGAGGTTACTTATCTAATCCATATTAAGACCTTGGCGTGATAGGCTGACCGACCTAACCTTGAGGCTAGTACGCGTGACTTCGAAATGGGGTAGAGAGAAGAAAACTATTCTACCTGATGTAACATGTTCTCGTAATCTTTCTGAATCAAATACTTCCAATGTAATGTGTTCTCATGATGATGTGAAATCGTATACCTCCGATTTAATATGTTTTCTTAAGATTCTCAAATCAAACTCCTCCGATGTAACATATCTTCACAATGATTCGCAGTCAAATGCCTCAAACAAAGTATGCTCTCGTAAGACTTTAGAATCTCACGTATTTTGTTCTAATGTTATGTCCACTCCAAAGTCTTCTATTTCTTTCCAAATACCGACGACATCTCCAAAAGAACCTTGGTCACGTGTACATATTGGTTTTGCCGGCCCGTTCCAGGGTACATATTTCCTCGTTTGTGTCGATGCTTACTCAAAATGACCGGAGATCCTCCCTATTCACCAAGTCACTTCGCAAGAGATTATTATGGAGTTACAGCAGCTATTCTCCCGTTTTGGAGTCCCAGATGTTCTTGTGTCGGGCAACTGCACTCAGTTTACTTCTTACATCTTCTCATATTTCTGCAACAGATTTGGAGTCAAACATGTTCGTTCACCTCCATACCATCCAAAATCGAATGGTCAAGCCGATGGGTTTGTGGATACCTTCAAAAGAGCGTTATTCAAGACAAAAGGGGAAGGAAAGATAAAGGAAATTTTTGGTGATTTTCTATTGATCTACAGAACAACTCCAAACCCATCAGCACCAAATCAAATGTCTCCAGCAGAAATTATGTTTGGTAGAAAAGTTAAAAATGCTCTTGATGCTATAAAACCAGAGCAAAATGGCATAGGAAGAAGAAACCGAAAGATGGAAATCCAATTTAATCGCCATCATGGGGCGAGACGTAGAATCTTCCAAAATAATCAAAAAGTATGCGTCTGTGATTTCCGATACTCACCTCCGCAATGGATCAGTGGACGCATACTTAAGAGACGAGGAAATGTAATATATGTGGTGGAAGTTGAAGGTCAAAAGTAGACACGTCATGTCAACGATATACTGGAAAATGCTGGAACTTCACAGAAAACCGAGAAACTGGGCTCAATGTGGAAAATCTTTTTGGACAGTTTCGATATAAAACGTTCAGCGACTCAGAAGACTATGCAAATTGAACAAAATGCTATTAGGAGATCATTACGCGAACGTAGAAGATCAGATATTCTGCAATTGGACCCAAAGAGAAGAGCATATGATTTTGAGGGGAGATATCAATGATGATATCTTAGCTATTACTTGTACCTAATGACTAACCATTTTTTCTTTTTCTTATTTATTCCAGTTTACCAAATTGGTCATGCTTGACAAGGATCACGACGTCAACCAGTTTCACTTATTTATGCACTCAGTTGAATGGCAGTTATAACTTTTTTTTGTCAAGGGGGAAGATGTTGTGAACAGGAAAACATGAAGCCCTGACAAACTACGAAAGCTATTTTTCGGGATGTTATTCCATTTTATTCAAAGCTTGTAAAACACTGACATTTATTTTTGTTCCGAAGCTATTGTAATTTAAACATAATAGTTTGCGCCCTATTTTCTACTCTAATTCCCAGCTTTGGACATAATTGTATTTTTCCTAATTATCGTACGTTGTGGTCGCGTTATTCACTTATTTATTCATGTACCTTTTTACACTAATCCGAACTGAAATCCGGATATCGGGAATAGATCGAGTAGTGTTCCAGCTGCATTGTCTTCTCTCATTCGCGTGCTTGTCACTCAATCAGGTGGTAGAATAGTTTTCTTCTCTCTACCCCATTTCGAACTCACGCGTACTAGCCTCAAGGTTAGGTCGGTCAGCCTATCACGCCAAGGTCTTAATATGGATTAGATAAGTAACCTCAGCACCAGAAGTGAGTAGACAGACCCAAGGACATAACAATTAGTAAGTTTGCAATTTTATTATTGTATGAAAGAATGTATGGATTACAACAAAAAAAAACAATACGAGAATTACTCCGTTTAAAAGGATGATTGAAGGTAATTGTCCCTTACACTGATAAATCCGTATTTATTAGTACCCATTGGACTGAACGTGTACAATATAGGTGTACTAATACAATGTGCTTAAAATGCAGTACACTATGGATTACTATTGTAACTATAATCGTTCGGATACGTAGTTATACCTAAACTGAGTTGGTAAGCATAAAATTTAATCCAGTAATCGGAGTAATAACAATAATGATAATATAACCCATTCGTGAAGTACAGGTTTATCCAATCAGATATGGATCACATTGTTTGTGTTGAATAATGAGATACTCAACATGGCTATCCAAATTGAGTTTGTTTGAAGTAGGCCTATCTTAACTACTAATAAGGCATCATCGGAAGTATATACAGGGACCAGTTGTTGGCTGGAAGGAATATTCAGTTGGATACTGACAAGATATGCCTACAATTGATTAACATTTAAGATGTATGTAGCAATTGGATGAGGCCAAACTTAAAATAATAACAAATACTTATAAGAAATTATTTGGGTGGATATTGGAAAAGTGTTGACGAGATCTTTAAAGGGTATTATGGAAATGGTTGAATGAGATAGTTTACATCGCTGACTGATCTTATTTAGACAGACATTTAAAACTAAAAGTTCTGGAAAGTTATTTCGTCCTACTACAGGACTTTTCGATAGTGCACACCCACTTTACCAAAGATCTAGCACAGGATCGTCAGACCTCTCGATGAGGCCTTAACCTTTAGAACATTGAGGCGGATTCTAATGGTTTACATGTCCGAATTAAATCAATTCGGAATATAGGAATGTCCAGGTTCCGTAAAAAAGGAACACTTTATTTGGCGATGACGTACATGATGAATAACCGAAAGAGTAGCAAAAAATAAGAAAAACTACAAAAAAGTTTATTTAAACTGCTCACTATTATTACTTCCATTACTGCCAACATAACTAGAGGATCCAGGTTCGAAGCGAACAGAATTTTGATATTTTATTGGCGGACTAGTACTCTAAAAAGCATAATGAAAATTATACACAAGCATAATAATGACACAGAGTGGATGAATAAAAGAGTACACAGAAACTTACAATCAGGTATTTCGTACATATTTGTCTCCTTCGAGGTAAGTTAATAGGATCTACTAATTAAAATGTAGTTTTGTAGTCGAATATCATGAAAAATTAGACTAGGATGATCAAAATTAGAAACTTCAGACCTTGGAGCGATCGCTCAACATTCTAACCATTAATGAGTTAACATTTCTACCTTTAATCAATCAATTACTTAACCACTATTCATTGTCACTGATAATCGTTGGGGGATTATATCAAAACGAAATTAAATTTACGATTTATTTATTATTTATCTTGATCATTTTTCTATCCTTTCGTGAATTGTGATAATTACCAAGCGATGCGTGTAATTGACCTTGATTTTATTGATTACGTTTTTCTCGAAGTCGTAAGAATAATTACAATATCTGCAAACAGATAATTACTCACTTTACTAGTTTTTCTTGAAACAAAATTTTCTCTTATAAATTCCCGTTTTCTCTATTATTACACTAACATGCTGTTGTCACTAGTCAAGTGTTATTGCTATGTATTGGTTGGTCTAGGTATAATGAGTCATGTTTGATCCATTCACATATTACCGCTCCAAAAGACAAACAACTGTTTTAAGTTACGTGATGATAAACTGATTTTCTGAACTTACTATACAATATTGTAATATGAGCAATTAATTAAACAGAAAACTAAATAAAATTAATTTGAAACTTATTAAAATTAGCTGAAATAAAACCCATTCTGTGCAAGGTGTAAACATCATCAACAACAAAATATCAATACAACAGAATAATCAATTACGTTTACATGTATTGCATTGGTATTTTTCAAATTTGTAGTTAAAAATGAATTTGGGAACAAAATAAAGTACTTCAATTTTATTGAAATATCTATTGTAGAATATTTTTTAGAAAATTTCACATTACAGAATCAACCTGATATGCTTTTTTTAAAGAAAAAAAAACGGTGTTCTTAGGTAATCAAAAGTAAAGACATGAAACTACAGTTTTATTGCTTTGTTGGTAAGTATAGAAAAGAAGTAGATGTATTCTGTAAATCGTAAACATTGGTGTGTTTAAAACAAACGTAATATGTATGAAGGTTTGAGGAAAGTATTACTAAGCTTGGAATATGTATTATGTGCTAGGAATTGCATGTCAGAAAGAAGTATCTATAGTCCTTAGATGACTACTGGTGTTTCGTATCAGATTCAAACTCATACAATCCCTGGCTGCGGTATAAGATAATGGGTTATATCGCATAGGGAACATCGGTTCCTTAAAGACTGCATATACACCCAGCTAGCAAGCGTCCACAACGATAGGAATTAGATATATGGGCTTCCTTGTGATCTATTACAAACATCCATGGTCAAAACATAATCCATGAGATATTAAGTCACTAAAACTACTGAGCATACTTGAATTTGCTCCATAGAATTCAATTAGCATCAAAAAGTAAATGAAGACATTGTTGCCACAGAATTTCTATTTTTTGTATTGAAAAGGCTTTCATGAATAGTAAAAATAATGATCATAATGGTGTATTACAAATGACAGGGGTGAAGCGGCTTAGTAGTTAGTGCGTTCAACTCTCAACCATAAAACCCCAGGTTCGAAAGTTATTTAACTAACTTCGGTTAAGACAACAGGGTAGTATCATTAGCCATAAGACGCGTAGTATAGTTCATACCTGATGAGTGAGTTAAATTTTAGTTATCTGTTAATTGACTGAGAGATTGTTTGTTAAAATGGATAAAACTATTTCGCTATTCATATTATAGTGCTTATTAAAAAAGGACTGTGTTTCAAGAATAGATTTATTAAACATATTGATATCTATACGAAATATTGATATCAGTAAATATTATTTACCTTGTGAAAAGAATAGTAATAATTAGAAAAACAGGAACTTTTTCCCAATGATGGTAAACAACTATTCACTAAATCATAGCCAAGTGATAAATGAAAGGTAGGTAACTTGTAATAAACAACAAAGGGGTCACGTCACGTGTAAAAAAATTATTTGCACTTCACAAACTAAAAGCCAACATCTCTCTCTTCTATAGAGTATCACGTGTGTAATTTTTTTTCTAGTAAACCATCTAATTTACAAGTAAGCAAATAGGCACTTCATAAAAATTACAAAAACATCATTTTCAAATGATGGAGCTAATTAGTCTATATGAGAGCAAAAAACACAATAATTAAGGAGTCCCACAATAGGATGAAACGGCCATCCAGTGCTTCCAGGTTTTCTATGGTGGTCTAGCTTCAACTGATTTATGATTTCAACTATTGAGATTACTATAATCTCCATACAACCACTTCTGATATATATATATATATATATATATATATATATATACCATATTTAATATTTGGTAAAGCTCCACTATAGAGGATGTTGAAATGACCTTGACATTATTACGTGACAAGGAGTGTCGGGTCAAATCTAGGATCTTTTGGTAAAAAAAAGTTATTGAAATGCTAACGGATACAGTACTTTTTTCTTATGGTTTCAGGATTTTCCACGATTTGTAACTAGACAATTTCACGTTATACAACAAAAGAAATTTCCATACAAAAATTTATCCATTGGAGTGGATATAATATAATTTGTTTATTGTTTCATAAACAATTTAACATATCTCACAAAATCGCTTTCGTGAACTCTTACTTAAATGTCGGCAAAATAGCATTACAAGATTATAATGTCTTTAGATGACCATGTGAGAGCGCTTCGAGTGGGAGAGCTGACTCTCCCCATCCTCATCTATATCAGGATAAGAAATAAGATTCATTCATTGACAATCAATTATCTAACCGAAAAATAAATGATACACCGTATAGTATACAACAATATAGCATGAACAATCACCGATAAATTGAACAGATGTTCATTGTAATTATAAGACATTTCAACACTTTAAAACTAACGATTATTACTGAAGAGAATAATTTTTTTAAAAATCTAAACATATTTGGAATATAATAAGTTTTTCTGTTAATCAAATGCCTTAAAAACGACAGTAACATGAAAATTAATGAAGAGTGATTGATTTTTAATCTACGTTTAAATATGTAAGAAGTCATTGATATTATGTTCAGTATGCATCGATAACTTGACGTGCGTTTAATAATAACAACGACTCAAAACTTCTTAAAGATAGTCACATGTTGATTTCTTATAATTCCGTAACTGGTTTTTCCTTTTCTTTAAACAAAAGTTCATAATCCATCTATCTATCTATATTAATTAACGAAAAGGAAACATCCACAAAATCTTTTAAAAAAAACACAAACTTAATTATTTCTAAATGTAAGATTAACAGTAATTATTATCATTGTTACTATGAAAACTGATTTTCCATTTATCAGGATGATTTTTTTCTGAAAAATATTTTTACTAATTTAACACAGATTGAATTACTGAATGCTATTACCATGTGACCTACATGCAACTGATTAAAAGGGTAAAATTTTCAAACATACATACACAGAAGTAATAAGAAAAATAAATAAATAAACTGATTTGTTAATTGAAACAAAGTGTGAAATTTTAATCGATATTAATTTCCTTCTAATAATACATCACGTAATTTGGTCAGTAAATAAAAACAGCAGAAAATGATTAAGTAATACAATAACTAACTAATGACATAGTAATCTAATAAGTGAGTAATAGGTCCTCGAAACATAGACACTTGATGATGAGGTAAAATGGCCGGAAAAATGATTTAATGAGCAAAGTCTGTTTATGATTAACCACCTTTAATATGATGAGAAAACAGTACTGTTTTTAAAACTTTTCGTACACTAATAAATAATAAGGAAATATTTTCTATTTAACATTTTGATTACACGTGTTTTATATGTTACTATTTAAGCAAAGCATAATTCATTACGATGTTATTTTCTAAAGCAGTAGACAATCGTATTTATAAACTATAATAAACATATGGTAGTATATAGTCAAATAAAAAGATAGTTGCACATGATCGTGGATTGGTTGAAGTTAGACATTAACACTGTTTCATACCGACTCAGTGGTACGAAGATCAAGAGTTTGCGCGGAAGATCGAATGACCTGGATTCGAATTCCGCGTGCAGTGTTAGGGATGGGTACTCTTGAAGAGTCCAACACTAGAATGAGATGGTCGTCGAGTGCTTCCAGGTTTTAAATCGTGATCTAACATTGATAGGCTTATGATTTCAATGTAATAAGTCGAAAGTTATTGAGTTATTAACAAGATCACTAAGAATTAGTCGCAAATCTTTCCAGTGTCGAACATAAGTTATATAATGATTGAGGGGTAATAACAATAATAATAGGGCAATAAAACGCAATAAGCATATATAGAAGAAAGAGAGACCGTTAGGTATGAAATATAATTGTTCATTTGAAGATTTAAAAAGACGAGATGAACATGTATAGAAAAGCTATTTTCTCTTTAGATAAATATTGGATTCACGTAGTCTATGGATCATGAAAGTGATATATATATATATATATATATATATATATATATATATATATATATATATATATATATATATATATATATATATATATATATATAGAAAAAGTTTAATAAAAATGTTCAAGGTTCAAACAGAATGAATGTCACTTCTGATTGTTTACACTATGACAATATAAAAATAGGCCATAACTACACTGAAATCAGTATAAGCACAACAAATCAGTAGAATAATTAGATAAATTGTGTTCACTTAACAAAGATTTACATCAATTTTTAAAATTTATACCTACTTCAATATTTTGCGGTATTATGATATTTAGCATAAAACTTTCTAAATCTAACATGATAAAAGGGGATTTGTAGAGATTATGGAATTTTTATAGTATTAAAAAAACCCACTTTAGTTAAACTATCATTTGAAAAAGCATTAGAAGGCCGTTTTGTCCACTGGGTGTGACTCCTCAACAGTTCACTTCGACGACCACCGGTACGAGAACCAAACCCAGGGTTGAGCAATATCGTGAATTGATTAATGTAAGATATTAAGACCATTTAATACCGACTCAATGGTTTAGATATTAAGCGTTCGCGCATGATACCGAAGGTCTTGGGTTTGATTTCTGGATGAGGAGTCATGGATTTCTATTGCTCCGAAGTTTCATGCTAGTTCCGCCCAATGCTTTCATGATTTTAGTGACAATCCTAATAAAATCAATTTGTGACTTAAACTGTATAACACTTATTAAGAGTTAACTTAATTCTGTTTGAAAAATTAGATGATTCAGTTTGAAATCGATCTAAGTTCTGTAGTTAAATCCATTCTTTATCATATTAAACTCAATAATAGCAAATTATTCTCCAAATTAATTATACATTATGGTTATACCCACATTTATTTGACTGTTACCATTTTAAACATACCTACCCTCATCCCAGTTCCTCTTTGCTAGATATAGGCAAGTGATCGGAAAAGATGGAACTTATAGAACTATTCTAAGGGGAGTTACTATGTACATTTTTAGTGTGCATTTATTAAATATTTAGATTATGGTATCTTTAGATTGCCACGTTTCTAAGTATTTATTTAGATTAATAATTGTTGATAGATGTAGTTAACGATTTATAGATTACCGTTGAATAATTATACACCTATTACTCAGTTCGGTATCATAAACTACCTGGTTACGTACAAATGATTTCCTATCTGTGGTAGGTTATCGTCTTAAGTGACTAATGGTATCATGTGAGTTTCCAAATCATGTAGATTGAAAATAAAAGATTATTCAGCTGATTGATCTCATGTTATCAAACTTATTAAGCATAAAGCTACACTACAGTCCAGTAATCCTATCATATGGATAGTGAAAAGTTTAAGCAGACAATAAAAGATTTCGACAAATTACGTTTGACTTTATATCATTTATGATCATTCATAAAAGAGTATTCATTGTTTAACTTAGCAAGACTTATTCGTTGATGGTAGAGTGACACTGGAGTAAATAAAAATAGCCAGTAATAAATTTAAGTGTAAACAGTTAGACAAACAATGGAAAAGAACGCGCACACATGCAGGCATTCACACATACACTTGAATACACGTATTTTTGTAACACAGTAATAAGACATCATCATTATCATCATCACTGAAAGTATGATCGTTCAGTTATAAAAATAACTATTTTTCATTTGACTAGATGTATTGTGCATATAGAAGGGAAAAAAAGTCGTGTGTATTTTTACCACACCACTACATCATACAAATTTATCTATTTATATCCATGATAACAAAAATAATCAGGAGTGTAAAAAAAACTGCATTTTATTAAAATGTTATCATTAGCAAACTTACAGATGTATGCTTTTGTTGTATTCCATTGCCAGTATGATTTTGTCCAACAAGAGATGATGAAGGCGAATAGACAGTTTGATTAGTACCATGATTCATTGAATTTAGAGTTGGTGCGTCTAAAACAGAGATAAAGTTATTGCGATGTATTTATTTCTACATAGAAATGAAAACAATAGTTCAATGATCAAGAAAACAGTCATGATAAAATAATGGTGACATTAATTGACTGTTGTTGAGAATTCCCAAACGAAACAGGTATCAAGAGCTCTCTGTGATATGCATACAACAAATAAATTATATGATAGATAGTCTAAACTAATACAGATTACAGTTGAGAATATGTGAAATGCATGGCTGTAAATATACCTATTGTTTTATTCTCAAAAGTGATAAAACTGAAAAACGTCATTTTTGGGTTCGTTAAATGATTGACCAACGTGTTTGAGAGTCCATAAACACTTATTGTCAATGTCTCGAGAAGCCCAGAAAACGCCAGGAAATGTTTCGTCCACTCAGCACTAAATGAAAAGTTTTCAGAGACATTTTGAAAAATGAAAGATTACATGTTACGTTTTGATTAGATAATTTCCTAGGTCGTCACTATATTCAGGATATTTCCGGAAGGTTCTAGAAGATTGAGGTCACATGAAACGGTAAATACACTCGATTTTCTGTAAATGATTAGCCTTAAGTTAAAGCTCTTACGCATATTCCGCACCTTTTCTCTAATATTCGAGTTAAAGTGTATTAGTAGTTTGTAGTTATGAGGAGCGGTTAAGAAGTCAGCAATAAGCGTTTTGGTAGCAGTCCTATCATAAGACTCATATTCATCAGATCATTTACATTGTATCATTATCTTTTAAATATTTCTATGCAGTTCTGTAATTTGGTTCCAAAAATCAGATTACACAGTCAGTTATATTACTTACTGCCACTCTATTGTAATATATAATTAGCTATGATTTAATCGATTGGATTTAGAGAAATATAAAGGATATATAGAACAATAATTATTATTGGTTATGGATACAAATTACCAAGACAGGTGTTGAATTATTTTGTTTTTTTAGTAGTAATAATAATAACTACAGCATGCGATAGGCTAGGATTATGCAATCAAATAATGAACCAATTATCTAACACAAAGACATAAATTGACTTAGACTAGAGAATCATTGAAAGCTAGGATACATCGAAACAGGTGTTTCAGCAGTTGTCTAACTAAGGATCAGTTTGTGTTTTAAACTATCCTAAAACTGGATAATCTTTAAGCATAGGTGACTGAGTGTAATTAAGACGTTTGACTTCCAGTCGCTAAGTTCCACCTGGTAAATAAGTTAAAAAATTAACAAAATGAAAAAAAAACGGTCTCTATAAGCATATCAACGCAATAATTGATGAATATTTGTAGAATCAACGTGACGATTTCAAATTTTAATATTGTTATGCCTTGAAACACGCTGACCAAATTTGTTTTAAGCAGATGTGGTTTTCATCCGGATATACCAGGCCACAATACATCATGAAAATAAGATGCCGATTTTTATTAAATGTAAGCGACTTCTCACATAGACATACAATGCCACAATGGTATATATTTTCTATCAGTTCCATTGTAGATTTATCATCATGAGCTTATTTAATATTTGTTAATTAAAATTTAGTATATGAGTAGTTGGTGGATTGTTTGAATATCTGGGCTACTTGTCCCTGTCATCTAGATATTTCAACAAATCTATTTTTATTTGTTTTGACAAATCATTATGTCTAACAATTGCATAACCTATTCAGGCGCGTTTATGAAAAGTTTACAACCTTTCGCTGTGCAAGTTACAAAAGAAAATATAGTCAGCGGCATCGTAGTGGCTGGTAATATAAATTAAAAAGAATGAACCTTATTCAGATTTCTATTCTCGAAGTACTAACTTCTAACTGGCGATCACTCAATATTTATAGTCAGTATCGACCAAGAAATAAGAAAAGGAAACTTGTTGAAATACTTTGTGCTGAGAATTATATATTGTATTAAAAATATAACATTGAATAAAGTCATTATTAATAATAATAAAGGTTGAAGCTGTGCTATTTCGGTTACTAAGAGTCTAAACGATGCATAGTACTCTTATTAATCAATTTAATGTCAGATTTTAAGTAGTGGAATTATTAGGGCGTTCAACTTTGAGACATTTACAGATTTGTTCCACATACTTTAGTTTACGAAATCGTGAAGCGCTACTAACCCTTACACATAACAGTGACTTGAAACAAAATATATAATCTGTATCTGGTAAACGATTTCAGCTAGTAATTCAAAATAAAATAAACTACTACGCTTTACATCATTCAAACTAACAAAATATTACATTGAGACTTGATATGATACTATAATGATTTCAATATCGATCATTATATGGTCGTGTAATGGAGAAAACTTGCAACTTGGGTAGATGTTTTTGTCAGTATTGGGTTCCTCGAGCCAGATAGTTTAACTGTAAAGCTTTCATTATTGTTCTAGACACCATTATCAGGACTTAATTCATGTAGAAGTGAGCTTCTTGATTATTTTACGATATTAATATCAGTTGGTCATGGTGGCCTGGATTGCGACTGATTATCCATGTAGGTTTCATTGACTTCAGTTATACTTATATTATAATCAAATATTAGTCAGCCATGCAACGTTTGACCTGACATAAATGTCCGATGGTTCACATTGCCACATGTCATTAGAATCGTGAAGAAAATTATCAAGATAAATCCCAGAATAATTCAGTAACAGTGTCACTAATGGTAGAAAAGATTAGGTATAGAAAAACAGACAAAGTAAAGCATAAAGATATTTCAAGATTCAGAAGATGAGAAGTATTCTGTAGGCCCTTATCTGATTTGAATTAGGTCGGATGATGTTAGCAAAATGTACATCCAGACATAATTCGTGTTAGATAATAACGGAATAAGTCAAATACGAGAAGGAATTTTCAATACATATATTTCGTACACTCGTTTATCTGGAAAAAAATTCAGAGAAACGAGGTGGAGTTGGATCACTCGCGTTCTCCTCTTCGCTTTGATCCTTCAATTCTTATTTTCCCAACGACACTCTCCATGCAGCTTCGTTCGATGTAATAGGTAAAATAAGCAATGCACACATATATGATCATTCAAAAATAGTGAAGGTTAATATGTGAATAATTAACAAGCTCAAAAAGTGACTTTGAAAGAATGAATAAATCAGTACGTCCAGAAGCTGTAATAACTTATGTCGGCTTGACATAATACCAGCCACTACAAATAAACGCATTTATATCATTGCGAACGATTCTGAATCACTTTAGATGCTGCTGAGATCCAGTGTTTCTCCCTAACCTTGTGGTTTACCGTACTAGCAGATATCACTGCTGTTTCCACGAATTTTCGGATATCATTCCATGCTGTCTCGGGGTGGGCATCAATTACATAGCTGCCTAACTGTTTACTAGTTGTTCTTCAAATATACTCTGAGCTTGACTATCATTGAGTAGGACCCTAAGAGGTTTCCTTGCAGCGTCTTTCTTACATCAAGTAACACGTAGACAAATACGCGCTTGCACTAGAGCATGATCTGAATCTAAGCATGTGCTCCAGAAAGAGCGACAGTCTTCTATCGAACCCCTTCATCGATAGCTGATAGAGATGTGATCTATTTGGGTTCAACGTTGCGACGAATTCGAGGGTCGCCATGTCAACAGATGTTTTTACTTATGCTTAAAGTTAGTATTTGCAAGAAATAGGTGGTTATCTGAGTATAGCTGTAACAGACGGTCGCCATTATCTATTCTTTGAGCCACGACACCATAAGATCCATCCAAGTGTCTTTCCCTTTCGCTTAGTTTACTTACTTGAGTATTAAAGTCACCAGCCACTATTACTATATCAGAGCGCCTAACTTTTCAGAGAAGGTAGGAAGGCTTTCTGTAAAACTCATCTTTTACATCATCTGAGCTGCAGTCAGTGGGAGAATAGGCAGAGATGGCGAAGAGGCAACAGCTAAAGTCCCTATCTTTCCGAATCCTAACTGTTCTGTTTAGTCGGAGAGCGCACAAATGACTGTCTACTGGGATCCAGTCTAAGAGAGCTAGTTCTGCCCTAAGACTCAATGCTATACCTACGCCAGCATGGCCACAGGAAGCAGCATTAGGGCTTCCAGATACACGAAGTGTAAATCGAGTTGGTTCATTACTTTGACATGATGAGGTCAGATGAATGACACTATTAGGATCCTGTATGTGCGTTTCAGAGACGCAGCACACATCGATGGCGCGAGATTCTCAAGTCCTAGCTAAGGAAGCCTGTTGTCCTATTTGGCACAGTGTTCGGACGCTAAGAGCTCCTACGTGTAGTTTAGAGCGTGGTTTCAGGAAACCTGGAATAAAGTTCCGCGTACTCGAACCGTTCGCCCTAGCGGTGCAAGCCTAATGTGATGTGATTATTATCAGTGCATCAGTCCATGATATAAACTGTAAAACGCAAAAGTTTATTTGCGGTTTACACTTTCTAAAAAAAGGTATCTATCTAAAAAACCGTATTCTAAGTGATACCGATGCGTTATATTTGTGACAGGAGTTTGAAGTAAATACATTCACACATAAGCACATCGTTAGAATACAACTGTCAACCGGATAATATTTAACACATCATAAAAAATACACACACATACACAGAAAAATGAAAAAAAAATTCTTTCCAAAAACAGCCTATGATCATCAATATCGTTAATAATAAATAGTGTTGCGCCAATTTTCACCAAGGAATTTCATTTCATTTTCAGATTGAAAAATTTAAGTAGAGAACAATGTTATCCTTCATTAATCAAATAGTGTTTTACTAAACTAATTTTCTTTACTGTCTGTTAGTAATATATAATTTTTTAAACAAATAAACAATGACACTGCAGTATGGTATACTCATATTGTTTAGTAATTTAGTATAATAAGAAAGATTTTCCGGTTAGTGCAGCAACCGACTGCATAAAGGACTAGCTATTATTACTTCGATCTAAGAAACACTGACCGAAGATCTTGTATTCGATTCCCGGTTGTGTGGTCCCGGATGAGAACTGATATAAAGTCCAACCCTG